CTGAAGTTTTCTTTTTTGCAAGGTCTCTCTTTTGACAAGTCCATGAATTCCGACACAGTGGCATCGCATATGTAGCACCTCATTGTTGATTTCGTATGCGTTGCTACCTTGCCATCCACCATCGTAAATAACATTCTGTGTTTAATAGAGGTGTCATGTATATTTGTGCTAGAAAGTGCTGATATTTGTGACTTTGTGTAGTTTATTTCCTCGTTTGTGACGTCAGTTGTCTCCTAAACGAAACGAACCTCCTTTTGATTTTGTGCGCAGCCAACCATTTTTGTTTAAAATCATGTTCAATTATTGAGATTCTGTTCTTTATATCAGCTATTCTCGGATAATCTTGAGAATAACCTTTCAATAATTCTTTCTCCATAAACATTAACTTTCCGTCAAAACTGTGTTCATTTGAACGTTGGACGATGTCATATAACTCATTTCGAGTCATAGTCTTCACGCCAGAAGGTCCTGATAACAATAAAAACGAATAACATTTAAGAAGATGTTTGTACCAAATATTTAGGTCTATACAAAAAAAAATATTTAAAAAAAGGGGCGGTTTCGTGCGGCTATTTTTTTTATAAGTAGTCTTCCAAGTAAGTACCCGACATTATACAATAAATTTCAATGCCCAGAAATGTACAGAAATATAACAAAACCCCTTTTAAAGTATTAAAATAATCATTTATATAACAGTCAATTATACCTATGTTGTCGACTAAAAAAACAAAAATCTACAAGTTATTTGTCAAAAAATATATATTTAACAGAAAGTACATACCAGGAACAAAATCATCCATGATAAAAACCACTACTAAACCACTTCACTGAACTAAAATAAGAGCTTTGAGAACAATTAAATAAGAGCGTATCGAAAAATCACACGTCAGTCGTAAGCGATCTGTAACTTCCGACTGATCACACGAAACGCAGAGTTAAGCTAGAGCTTTACCTGTTTCGCTATTGGATGCAGTAACTCATTAGCTTTTTGATGGTGTACAATACTCAATAGTTAACAGAAAATTTAAATTTCCGTTTTTGGCCAGGTTTTGAGGCCAAATACCACACTGTGCGATGTCCTGTTTTTCTTCGATATGCCCGAAGCCCTAAGTCTTCATTTAACACCCTTTTCACCGTGGTTCTGCTTAACCCCATCTGAAGGGCCAACAGTTTCTGCTTACGTTTGGGATTTCTTTGAATTCGCGCCTTCACAGCTTTTATGACTTTTACCGAGGGCGACCACTTCTTGACCTGTCATCTACACTAGAGTCTTCATTGTATCGTTTGATGGTACGATAAACGAATCATTTGGTTGTACCTCGTTTAGACTATGCCCATGCCGCTGCCCCTCGCGTTGCCGGCAATAATTCCCTAAATATTGCTGCGGCATGATTGAGAGAAGTATGTGTTTACATACTGCCCTACCTCTCACTTCGCTTCAGAGTTTCGGCAATGGCAGACGTCGAAGTAATAACAGCGACCGAGCTGTCTCTTTTTGCAATCCATAATTATGTTCGAAATTTAAAAAAATAATAATTTTAATATAAATAAATTAATAAATATTAGTTATAATTTTTATTATTTTAAAGCATGTAACTGCTTTATGTTTAAATCTAAAGAAAATATAACAAGAAAAAATTCCACGCGGGCCAGGCAGCAGACGGAACTTGAACCCGCACCCTTCGCAAAAAAAAATCTAGTTATATTTTCTTTAGATTTAAACATCAAGCAGTTACATGCTTTAAAAAAATATTATAGCTATAATTGCTATTTCTTCTTCCAAATGTTTAATACAGTGGATCCCCGGTAGTCCGACAAACATTTTGTAGGGCAGTGTCGAACTATCGAATTTGTCGGATTATAGAGTACTGCCCAAGACCCCCTATTGTCCGATTTTTTTTACAAAAGCGTAGCTTGTAATCCGACAAATTACAGATCCAATGATAAGATTACAAATCATACTTTGTTATATATGTCAAATTTAGTAAATTAAACAACACAATAGAAAGATTACGTTTTATTATAAAAGTAACGTCATTAATGCTATAGAATTTACAAAAAAATATAAAAAAAAAGTAGTTTACATGTTTACATACTCGTCATGCCACTGCCATTGCCACTCGCGCTGCCTGGCGCTCCCCAAAAGAGCGGTTTTTTTGTGCGGAAGTCAAAGGACCGGCAGCGCGAGTGGCAATGCGTGTTCACACTCTGCGCGTCGCTTAGTTCTTAGTTGGGTTGGTAGCAACTTACAAAGTTCTATTACGATGGATAGATAACATCTACCATCTTCTACGACGAACATTCTTTTTTTGTACTTGATATATTTTTAAATTTCGGACAAAATTATGAATTGCAAAAAGACACAGCGCGGCCGCTGTAATTACTTCGACGTCTGGCATTGCCGAAACTCTGAAGCGAAGTAAGAGGTAGGGCAGTATGTAAACACATACTTCTCTCAATCATGCCGCAGCAATATTTAGGGAATTATTGCCGGCAACGCGAGGGGCAGCGGCATGGGCATAGTCTAAACGAGGTATAATATTCAAAATTTTCAGTATGTCAAAAATTTGAATTGGCGCCTTCTAACCGCATCGATGCAACACAATAACTGCAACTCGACACACTCTGCGCGTCGCTTAGTTCTTAGTTGGGTTGGTAGCAACTTACAAAGTTCTATTACGATGGATAGATAACATCTACCATCTTCTACGACGAACATTCTTTTTTTGTACTTGATATATTTTTAAATTTCGGACAAAATTATGAATTGCAAAAAGACACAGCGCGGCCGCTGTAATTACTTCGACGTCTGGCATTGCCGAAACTCTGAAGCGAAGTAAGACGTAGGGCAGTATGTAAACACATACTTCTCTCAATCATGCCGCAGCAATATTTAGGGAATTATTGCCGGCAACGCGAGGGGCAGCGGCATGGGCATAGTCTAAACGAGGTATAATATTCAAAATTTTCAGTATGTCAAAAATTTGAATTGGCGCGTAACCGCAACCGACGAACACAATAACTGCAACACGGTCTTCTTTAAGCGTCCACTGCATATTTAAAAATGAGTAAAATTGTAAAAAGTATATATTTGTTATTTTCATGAACAATTTGAAATTCGAATTCAATAAACTTTTTTGTGGCCAGCATTCTAAAAGAAAAGTTTTTACTGTGTGACAATACTTACGACCTGACTGTGTATATTTGAAATAGCATGGGGCGCTTTATTATTAAATTTTAACTGAATTTTATATATATTAAATTGATGAATAGCGCTCCACGCTTTTTCAGTTATTTAAATACATAATATGTTAAAATAAACTATAAACATGGCTTACTCTAAGGCCCTTATGAAGTAAACAGAGAGTATATTTTGTTCATTTTTGGCTATTTAGTGCAGTAAATAAAGCGTGTTTTTAGTTTTTTAAACTATTATTATGTTGGTCATTGAAATCGCCCCGGCCGGCCAATGCGACCGCGGATCCGGGCTACGTAGCGAGCGGCGGCGCCGGCACTCTGCGCCCCCTAGGGCCGTGCACCCGTGTGCAACGCACACACTGCACCATAGGTAAAGACGCCTCTGGGGTTGCGTATACCATACAGGTATAAGAATAGAGTGGGGATGGCGGCTCTAAAAGTGTCCGTCTAGTAGAAAGAGAAAGAAGATGCGTGACCGCTAGCTATTTCTCTCCCTTGTGACACATGGCATCCAATGGCGCGATTAGAGAGAGAAAGCTAGCGGTCTCTTATCTTCCTTCTCCTTCTATTTAAAATTAAAATTTAAATATTTTCAATATACACCAATAGGCTAGTTGACACTTTTTGGAAATATGTTTTAAATGGTTAATAATTGTTCAATTAGACCGAAAAAAATGTATTGTAATTTTTTTTACCTAGAAAGCTACAAAACTTTAAAATAGATTTTTCATGGACATACAAAAACGCTGTCGGCCATTTTAGTCTATAGATTATCTATAATATGACGGGAACAATAGTAAACAAACACTCGCAAGCACGTAGGATATAACCTATCTGAATTTACATTACAAAACCATGATTTCTAATAGATTTCATGATAAATATAGTAATTATCATGATTGTATTATACGAGAATAAAGAAACACATCGTTAAAAAATGCAGGAATGTTGTGGTTTCAATTTTTAAGGTTATGCATGTACCTGCTAAGTCAGAGTTTTGTCGTTTCTGCTTTCACAAATCCGGCGTCCAGTAGTAATTTAGTTAAAACCAATAAACGGAAACTTTTCTTCAAGATATAAGAGTTTTCAGATATATTTTAGTCGGACGAAAGAAACCACAGTAACACGACAATGACGTTTAGTTGTTTTGCTATTATGTTGTCGTCACAATCATGGTGGACAGCGTTTTTAGTGTTTAAAAAGCATAGACTAAAAAACTATTTTTCAAATTAAATTACTACAGCCATCTTCTAATTTTATGAAGTGAAATCGATGTATTTAGGTTCCTCATACCAAAAATTATAAGAAATAAACATTTGTATAGTACAAATTGACATGAGTTAACTAGCCTATTAGACTAGCCAAAAGTAAGCACTATTAGGCTTGTGTTATGGGATGCTAGGGAAACGGATAGAATACATATACTGTACATATATAAGTATATTTATATAGAAATAGATATTAAACATACATGACTAGAGTACAAATGCTCTTATTCATCACACAAACATCTGCCCCCATCGGAATTCGAACCCAGGACCTCTCGAGTATGCGACACCATGAAACCCCGCGTACAAACCACTTGGCCACGAAGGCCGTCATAGAGGGACACTTACATTTCTCTATCCTTATACCTCTATGGCGTATACAGAGAATGATTTGCTTTTTGTGATTGTTGAATGACAGCCAGCCATTTGACTTTCAATGCAAATTCCACCATAATTGTAACCGCTAGTTGGCGCTGTCATCACGCACCCAGCGAATATATTCCGTAATTTTAATGTCAGTCCCATTTTTTTCAGGTGCGGTCATGTTTCAATATTATTTGAAAATAGTTCCAACTATGTTTGTAAAATTGGATAAGTCTGTTTTACACACAAATCAATTTTCGGTAACGAGACATCAAAAATCAGTGTCAAATGTGAACTCTGAATCTGGTATGCCAGGTGCCTTCTTCAGCTATGAACTCTCACCGCTTATGGTAAAATATACAGAAAAGGAGAGGTAAATAAGAAATAAAAAAGTTCCGTACAATGTGTTATTTATAACGTTCTTTATTTATTTAATCACATAAATGATTTTCCAGGTCAATTGGACATTTTGCAACCAACATTTGTGCAATAATAGGAGGAGTCTTCACAGTTGCTGGTATATTTGATACACTATTATATCATTCGCTTAATGCCTTTCAAAACAAGATGTTATTGGGTAAAACTGGCTAAAATATTTATATTGTCTTTAAAAACATATTAAAATCATCTATGTTACATTTGGCATACTTTTTACAAAATTCTGTATCTGTACCCTCAGCTAACGCCATGATTGGAATAAAATTTTCCTTCTTTGGTTCAAATTGATCTCGTCCCAGCTTTTGCAGAAACATATGACGTTGTTTTACTATGTAATTTCTACATAATAATACCTCTGGATTTTGACGGATAACTAAGTGAGGGATCTTCATCACATTATGAATATAATTAAATCTCTCCAAAAGGGCTCGTTGATCTGTAAGAAAATCACAATTACAGGATTTTAATTTTTTGATCGTCAAGGTGTGTTAGAATACCCTATACTGTTGCGCTAGAGGTTTAAGTAGTATAGCAAGCATATATTATAGTATGGCGTGGTGTGAACGTGTTCTTTGTAAATGTATATGGCGCGATATCGTGCAGCTATAAAAACTGTATAGCGTCGTCTGCACCTTTAGCGATTTTAAGCGCGGCAGTTCAGCATCACCACATAAAATTTTAGTATTCGTCCCGAGTTCCGGCGCTTCGGATGTGCGAGTTACGCCGCACGCAAACTCTGGATTAAATATTAATATGAATATTTAAAAAGTAGAAATTGCTTATGAATGTCGAGACAAAGAGAACTACAAAGCTGACGTTAGTCTGGTAATCGACCTCAATTACTGCTCCCCGATTTACAAAGTCTGTTTGACTTTGTACAACAAACGGAACAAGGTGCATAAGTATGCTTGCAAAATTATGGAAGCAGTGGGAAGTGGTGACGCTGTTGGGCTGACATAAATAGTAGTTATTTAACATCAGTATTATCTCAAAAAACCGAGATCAACACCCATAAGGCACTCTAATATAAGTAAGTTCAAGAACAGTAGCAAATTAGTGTTGCGTTAATGCATTTGCGTTTATTCTATTGTGTTGAGCGACCGACTTTCGGCTCCTGCCAAAAATCGTCATAGTGTTGAGCGACCGACTTTCGGTCGCTCGCGACCCCACTTATACTATGGAACATATAAAATTCATTCCTTTTGCTATCCCCTACATTCTTATATCAATTTGTAGAGGAAAGAACTGGCTAGCTATCTAGCCATTGATTAAGTCAACTGTCATATGAAATATTTATACTGTTGTCTGTGGAAGTTCGTCGTTCGCCGTTTTTTGTATGAAAAAAAATATGCTGTGTATTCAGACTATTTAAAATGTTTTTCAGTGGTTTTTAAAAAAAAACAGCATCCCTGGGCAAGTTAAATACATTAAGTTACTCTATTTTGATGTTTCGTTGGCGGGTTTACGTGTTTTTTTTTTAATATTTTTTTTGTTCTCGACCTCGAAAAATAACAATAAAAAAAAGGGTTTGTGGCTTATGTTTTCATGGTGATAATTTCGATAATAATTGTAATGTTTTAATTTATAATTATTGAATAAATTATTCATGATTAATATTTCGAATACAGAGTTTCTCTTGAGTTCGTATTTTTGAAGAAATAAAAAAAAAAAACAAAATCCGCACGGTGTAACGATCGTTCTCAATTCAAATATTCGAATGAAACATTTTTTCATATTATTTTCTTGTATGCGAACTAGTGATTAGTTTTTCTTTATTCTAAAGCAAATTTAATGTACATTTTGATAAAAGAAACTGTTTATCATAATTGTAAGTACTTTTCGTTTTATCGACATAAAACTGAGATGACTGATTAGTAGGCGATTTTAAAATGCCTTGTTGCAAGTTCTTAAAACTATAAAATAAAAAAGGACTTCTCATGCCACACTTGTTTCTAAAGTGATGTTTACAATCTTAACTAACCGTAGACCCATAAATCATGGCTATTAGAGTGCCCGTCTAATCGTTATCGCGTACCCGAAACCCGACATCTGTTTTTATAACGCGTGTTTGTTTACACATATGAGCGCGTGAATTGTAAGAGCTATAGTGTAAAATAAAATTGTGGGAGTATGGTATTTTATGATTTTATTTGGTAAGTTATAATAGATTGTGCAAATAACCAAAAAACCTGGACATGAAGAATTTTGAAGACTCCATTTTACCCATCTGAACGCCTTTTTTTTATCTTACCCGAGTACGGTAAACTCGGGTAATGTATTAAACGTAATTAAAATAGATTATAGACATGACGCATTGTGTACACACTGTTTTATAGTAAATTTTATGGAGAATCTAAATATATGTATATTGTTTGTATAGGGTATTCATACAAAATAACAGAGATATCGGCGAAACAATGCAATCGTTCCCACCCAGCGGGAGGCCCCTTAAAGGAGTCCAACATTATCGGTGCGAACGGCGCATGACCACCAACATAAGAGAGGAATATATCGGACTATCAATAGTGTCAAAACCTTTAAAAAAATAGTCCCATTAAATATAATTATATATATAGGATGAAATTGAATGTTTTAATGAAATTTTGTGGGAATGTTGGGTTATGTATATAGAGTATCTCAATTTTTTTTCGGATTTTTAAAAAATGATTTAAAATAAGTTTATTTTTTGTTATATTTTAAGTCCTTTCCTCCTTTTGGATACTAAATAATTATTCTTTTTAAACACGCATACAGAGTAAGTAAAAAACAACTAATAAGCACTACTAAAAAAAACGTAAAAACAGGAGAAGGGCGGCCGGGAGTAGTGATGTGACCAGAGAATGTTCTCCAATCGAGAACTTTCTCGTATCGAGAATATTCTGAAATGTTTCCGTTCAACCGAGAATGTTCTCGGTACACTGGAAATTTATGAGAACTTAAAATGATGTTAATTTATGTAGAATAAGAACGATATAGTTTTATAGGGCTGCCAACCGTCCGGGTTTCCCCGGATTTGTCCTAGTTTACGGGGCGTCCGGGGAGCGTCCGGGCGGGGTTTCATTTGTAGTCCGGGTTTAAAAATTTCCTGTTTTGGGTTGCCAACTAATCCGTCAATTTAAATGTCTTTGAAAATAAATAAATCTTTTCTCTTTCAAAGATCAGCGGGCCCTTCGCTTAACGTAAATGCTTTGGAAAACGCTAACGCTTTCGATTTCATTTTGTTATTTCTGACCGCCGAAGGTTTTCAAATATCTCACTCTCATATTCTTTGATATTGTTATTACCAATGCAAAAGAAAAAAAAAGAGCGCGAGGCATTTGAAAACCGCAGGCGGCTAGAAAATAACAAAATGAAATCGTAAGCGTTAGCGTTTTCCAAAGCATTTACGTTAGGCAAATGGCCCCCAGCTCTGTCGCTCACGCTGTACGCAATAACAGCATTCGTTGCTATGTGGATGACAGCACTGACACTTTTTACACTGGTCGGTCAAACATCCCTCGGATGGAAGAAGAAGGGTATGAAGACAGACTTGTGTCCGAGATTGAGATGTTACTGGATAAAGTCTCAAATTGAAGCCAACAAAACTTGATTGGATAATCCAGCCCAGCAAAGACACAAGTTTGTGTGAAAAAGCTTGGGTGCTTAATAGATCTAGTAAGTACCTCAAGCCTAAATATCGGGTGTTACTTTACAAAGCACTGGTCCTCTGGGCTGCAGCACCCCAATACCAGCTCCTTCCTATTGACCGGATACAAAAGCGGACAGTTTGACTTATCGATGATCCTGAGCTCACTGACGCGTTGCAACCCCTTAGCATGCGCAGACGGTACAACACGCACAAGAACGCAACTGCTTATACGTGTTGTACCGTCTATACAACGGAGAGTGTTCCGAGGAATTATTCAAACGGATGCCAGTGGCCAAGTTTCTCCACAGCATCACACACCGCAGAGAAGTTTAACGCCCACCATCTGGACGCCTAGCGTTCGAGCACCATGTGTTTGTTCCTTTCTTTTGCGTACCAGTAAGATCTGGAACGAACTTGCCTCAGTATTTTTTTTAATAGCTATGATATGGTAATCTTAAAGAGGCGGATGAACCTTTTCGTTCAGAGCCGGCAACACATGAGTGGCCCTTGTTGCTGCAAGTGTCCATGGACAGCAGTGACCACCAAGGGCGGATCCAGCTTTGGCGCCAGGGGGGGGGTCATATAGTCGTCGTATATTAAATATTGAAAGTACTTAAATAAAATCCCCCTGGGTTTGGTCCATCTGTTCCAGCACATGACCCCCATGACCCCCCCCCCCCCCCCTCGATCCGCCCTTGGTGACCACTTATTATGAGGTGGACTTCTAGCTGTTTTGCCTACATCAACATAAAAAAAGTTGATTTGTGACATTTTTAACTGTTTTTTATTGGTCTGTCCGGGTTCTGGGCACCAAAATCCGGGGTTATCACGAGTCTTGTCCTGGTTGCCACATCTTAGAGACGGCAGCCCTATAGTTTTAAGTTTTGTAATGAAATTAGATCGTTTTGTACCATAAAAACTTATTCAATTTACTACAACACCAAAGGGTGCCTCGGCGATCGGCTTTATTGAAGTTGAACCTTTGAATTCCGACAAACGACACGCGCCGCGCGGCTCTTTGTGATTTCTGCTCCCGCACCTCCCCTCCCCGTCTTGCTGCACGCGACGCTCGGTTAACGCACATGCTAGTACAGACTCGCACCGTAAAGTGTTCGGACGTGATCAACAAAAGTGCCTTGAACGAAACCGAATAAAAATATATTGAAAATGAAACCGAAGGGAAAGATTTATAATTGAAATAGATGAAAATGGAAAAGTGTTGTATATATGCGAATTTTGTAATCAAAGTTACAAAAAACGAAATGCAACAAGAATGACTAATCATTTAACGAATAATTGTAACAAATGCCCCGACGTTATATAATCGACATTTAGTTTATAAAGCATTCTCAGAATTCGATGAGTTGATACAAAATCCAATACATTACGCTGCGACGTTGTTAGATCCTCGGAATCGTGGGGCCATGCTTAAACCTAATGAGAATATTGACGGATGGCAGTTTGTGATAGCAGTCGCGGAAGAACAGCAGCAACCCATAGAACAGTTGATGCAAGAGGTATCAGACTACAAGTGTGGAGCTGGACTTTGGAGCAAAGAATTTGAATGGCAAACAGCCAATAAAATGAGTCCATTGGCATGGTGGGAATTACTTTACTATAAAACCTATCTAGGGACAATTGCTATTAAAATATTGACCGCTCCGGCAACTTCTGCTGCAGTAGAACGTTCGTTTTCAACCTTTTCAAATATACACACGAAAAAAAGGAATAAATTTCTTACGGAGCGGGCGGGCAAAATCAGTCTGATATCTCATAATTGGAAACTACTGAAAAGATTAAAAAGACACGATTCAAGAACAAATAAAACATTTGATCAAGAAATACCGTAATAAATAAATAATCATCTTATGAGGGGATCGTGCAAGTGATTCTGAGACAGAATCTTCTAATTTAGACTCTGATTCAGAAATATCTGTGGTCGAGGAGGAACCAGAAGTCGTCATGGAGATGAGTGATCATGAGGATGACGATCCATTAGCTGGAATTTGAAAATATAGATACTATTCAGACCAATCAGACGAATTCTAGAAGATTAATTTTAATTTTATTACCTATTTACCTTTAAGTTCTGTTTGTTTCGTACTTTTCGTATCAGACCGTTATGTTTTTAAATATATATTTAATAAATGTTGATTATGATATTTGGTATTTTATTACTATTTAACATAACAATTGTTATTATTCTCTATTAATAAATAATAACTTAAATCACTTATGATAAATTTTAAATAGACAAATATTGGAAATATCAATCCGGGGGCGGAGTTGATTTTTCCAATATATATATGTTTATCATAAGTATAAAAATAACATTGAAAAATGCAAAAGTAAAAAAATCATCATAATTAAATCACATTAGTCTTGAAATATTTCCGAGAACATTCTAGAAAGTTCTCGAGAACATTCTCGTAGTCGGGAATTTACCGGGAATTTATATAAATAACTGGGTTTTTATTAATCCAGTCTGCATATTACGTATATACATATAAACATCTATTAGTCACATTGTAAATCCTACCGAAAAGTAACTTCACTTTTAAAGTTCTCATAAATTCTCGGTCAGAAGAATGTTCCCGAGAACTTAACCGCAAAGTTTCACCATAGAGAATGTTCTCGAGAATTTAACAACACTAGCCGGGAGCAATGACCGCTCCCGCCGTTGAATACCTTCCTACCTACCTATGCGCGGTGCACAGCGCATTGAGCGAGCGGGGTCTCAAATTTGTGACAAGACAAGATTTGCAAATAGGTAATGCCTTGGATTAGTTCTTGTTCTGTGGCCTCAATATAAGAATTTGGATATGGTGTGTTGTTATTGAGAGTGTCACGGAATACTCAGCAGAGCCACAAGGCTTTACGAAAGTAGATTTGGTGATTGATTCTATTTACAAAGTGTATATGGGAAGTTATAGTGGAATGAGAAATGAATAGGTACATCGGTCTCGTAAGTACTTTTGAATACCTGGTTATAAATTTCATTCTGACCCAAGTATTGAACTGCAATCAAAATTTCTTTTTGTTTAACATTTGCCTATTTCCAATCGTGACAAAATTAAAAGAAAGCCCTGCTTAAAAGAAGATGACATTTGTGCTTATTATTTCAATAAAGGCATTTAAGACGATTTTATTGTATTGTGTGGAATCAAAGGAGTCAGCTCAGCTCTGTGTACCTACTCACTGAACGGCTGGCGGGCGCGGTCGGTCGTTGTCCCGCGGTGGCAACGCCAGCTTAATTTTACTGTTTTTCCGATTTTTATAAATGCTTATTTATTAGTTGTTTTTCACTGGATATGTAAGTATTGTTGTTGTTGTTTAAAATGAATAACTACTCAAAAGGAGGAAAGGACATAAAAATACACAAATTATAAAAAATACTACATAAAAAAAAACTTCAAAAAAAATCCGAAAAATATCAGGCAGAGTATGCCTGCCTATACATGTAACCCAACAATCTCACGAAGTTTCATTAAAACATTCAATTTCACCCTATATATAAATATAATAGGAATGTAGACATTGTGAACCTTTTTCAAGTTCAACTATGAAAAGTCACACTATTGATAGTCTAGCAAATGTGCTTGTGAACGAGGTGCCCACCAGAACGAATTTCTCAAAATAAAGTTATCAGGATGTAGACCTTAGTCTTGAAACAATTGTAAGACGAGTCTGGGAATTATAAAAATAACAGGCCTTTAAGTGTGGTCCTTCAGTCCTCACAATCCATCATCAAGATCTCGGAAAGTGTTTTTAAATTGAGATAACGTAATTACAGACATTAGTAGTAAATGAGTGTTTCAAAAGTGGTAGTCTGTTTCCGGCAGCGATTAAACATACAGTAAAAGTTCCTTATTCGCGGGGTATACGTTCCAGAAATATGCCGCGAATACAGAAACCGTGAATATGGAGTGGTAATTTATAGAAATTATAGGGGATACGTTCCAAGGCGGCAAAAAAACAACACTATTTTTAACTAATCAATGAATTGTAATTAATTTTTGTCAGACTTAAGCAAGCGTTCAAAGAACTGTTAATGTAAACGGTAAAACTGATATTTATCACGTCGAAACTTATTTTATCTTTGTCGAAATTATAATTTAGGAGCACAGTGGAAGAGACGAGTTACTCGAACACAATTTTTGGAATGAATGAAAAGAGGAGTGAGTAAGCCACGCAAAGCGGACATGGCAGAGCGTTTAACTAACATATATGATATTATCATATGATATGATACTAATACATATAACAATATATTTTAGGCATATAATAATTAAATTGTTTTACATAAACATTATTCTGATTGTTTACTATCTCAAACAGCGTCTCATATCAAAAGAAAAGGCGAAACCATCTTATGCACCGGCGATAGCATTTGACAACATACCGTAGACTGAGTTAAAATAAGGTATATTTTATATATTTTGTAATTACTCCATCTGCCGATGCGTTAAAAAAGGTAACCAAATCCTTTATATTTTGATTAGATCCGCGAATAACGAAATTGTTTACCGCAAATATGGGAATTTGGTCGCAATTTTTTAATCCGCGAATAGTGAAAACGCGAATATAGCAAGCGTGAATAAGGAGCTTTTCTGTATATCATTTGAAAGCTTGCTTTATGTAATAACATGAACAGCTAATTTAAATTTAAAATTAATTGAGATAAATAATAACAAAAAGTATTAGCCTATAGGTTTTAAAATATTTTATTGCAAATTCAAAGACTTAATTTCACAATGACAGATAACAAACTATTTTTTTTTAATATCGAAGTAATCTACCAAAAAATACAAGGATAACTGAATTTTTACTTTTTTCTATCTTTAAAAATGTATGCATTTTCACACATTATTTAAACGCGGGCGGCCTGCGAACATGTGATGACGTCACTCGTCGTGTTGTGGCCCCAGGGCTGCGTTCAAAACCTACGCTCCAGGTGCAATAAATGTCAAAGTTGACATTAGCTTCCTACATTTTGGCAAAATTTAAACGTCGCACTTAGAACGTAGGTATTGAATGCACCCCTGGGGACAAGTGGCGTAAGCGGAGGGAACGCGAAGTCTCGAAAATTTAAAATAGGGCTGGCTATAGGTATAATTATACACTTTTCGCATTCATAACTTCGCCAGTAATACATGAAATAAATTTATATAACATACCTACGTAGTGTAAACTTTGATGGTAGGTATATTTAATTGTAACATTTTTTACCCTTTTGTGTTCTCCAATACTAAATTCTGATAACTTTATTATGAGAAATTCGATCTGGTCCCTCAGTTAACCACACGTACATGTCCTGTAGCACTAGAGCAGAAGATATTTTATAGACTCTGATGTAAAACTTAATAACTTGATATACAACACAACCTGCCAAACTTCTTGAGCATCAACTATAGACAAGAAAGCCTGCACAGTACTAATTTTACATACAAAAACGTCTAGTGCGTGAGGTCATTTATCTGTAGTTTTGCTTAAGAAGCTACACTTTTCAGTATTTATGAACTTATTATTTTTTTACATACTCATCATCCATAACTTCGGTTTTTTTAAGAGTAGTTTCTTTAGTTCACTGTCTGTAAATCCCATTTCTTCTTTGATAACAAATGTATTAGTCATAACATGATGAAGATTATAAGTAATAAGTCTGGGTTGCCTTGTAGATAAATGCCTGACTTCTTGTCCAGCGAGATTAAACTTCTTTTGAAAATAGCCCAATCTTCTATCTATCCTGGGGGTACTATAAACAAAAAATATACTTTAGAACATGTTGGTGTTATTAAAATGAAACTTATTTAATTCATGATGATAAAATTTTATGATGCTGATAATAAATGTACTCAGCCCCACTAGCATGAGCACCGCGATATAATATATAACGCATTTTTATCACGCTCAATTGTCAAATTACTATGGATTTTGACAGTTAGACGCGATAAAAAACGTGATATAATATAAATTGTGATGCTCATGCTACGGGGACAGGGGCCATTCATTTACTACGTGAAACCACTCACAAGTAAGATTATACTTTGCCCCTGGATTGAAAACCTTGTGTAGGTAAAGATGAATAACTAAAACCAGAGTTTATTACTACCAAATAAATACTTACGAATAAAATATTCCTAAACATTTAAATAAACATGAAAACAAATCAAACGTGTATTCATTTATTCCTTAAGATTTTTACGTAATAAATATATTAAACAGGGGTGAGGCGGTTGGACTACTCTTTATTTTTTTCTTATTTAGGGGCAAGGGGGGTGAAAGGCTAGTCTTACGTAAAAAATTGAATCGCCCCTTATATTTATTACAGCTTCGCCGACATCCACATTTCCTAGGTTTATCCTAGTTTAGAAGGTGTCTGAAGAACTGAAGGTGTGAACTACATGAAAAACGTTATTTTTTTATCAATGATTTTATGTAGATATTTTATGCTGTAGTTAATAAGGCAAAAAAACACAATTCTTTTGAGGGGTGTCTATAAAAAAAACCACAATTTAATTCAAACAGCCAGGGTTTTTTACTTTATGCATTACATCTATAATTTCGGTAATGGCAGCAATGGATAAATTCAAAAAAATGTTAATCTAAATATTTATATATGTATTATTATCATATTCATCATCATTATTGACTCAAATTAAAAAAGGATCACACACTTTGTCACCATTATTACTAAAAGCAAAGATTTTGCTAAAAGTTTTCCTAAAAAAAGTTGGTAACCAATGAATAGCGGACAGGGATTCATTTAAAATAATTCCTTAGTAATGTAACTTCAATAATGAGATGGTAAAAAATCTGATAACATTTTTTAAATCTCAGTGAATGTTTGTCTTAGTTTTTCTAATTTGAAACCTTAAATTAGTCTAGAGTTGAGATTTAGTTCTTCTTCCTAATTTCTATGCCACCAGCCAACTCCTATTTCAGATGCCTACTCGACTCCTATTTAAGAAGAATAGCAGTGCTATCATCAGCAAACGTGCCAACCAGCCGGCCTATTCGCTGCATTTTTGTCAGTTACAGAGTGTAACTAAAGAGAAAAAGGCATATCCATCGATGTTTTTCAGAACAAGTATCTCAGTGGCGTTATAACAAAGTAGTAGTGGATCAATCAATAGCTCGGTGATTATCACTTCCATCTGTCAAAAGCAGATAGCGAATAGGGCCACAGAATTGTGTTACTAGATGGTAAGTCGGAGGTGTATAATAGGTATAGCGGCGGCCCTATGACACTACCCTGCAAGACACTAGCTTAAATTTTGTGTGAGGATCGTCTTCTTCTTCAAAGTAAAAATGGCGTTCTTCTAGATATGATTTTATAAATGTGCAGAAGTTTGCGGAAAATGGTAATTCATGATACATCCTCCTGAAAGGTGGCAGTCATAGAACAACAATACTTTGCTCTATGGTTTGAGTATTAATGTGTTATTGCCTTACCTAGTTTATAAAGTAAATTTAGGATCAAGCAAGTTTTGCGCGGCAAATCATTCCGCATAATAAACGTCCAAGGCGACCTCGCTCAATCAGTACATAAGCTAAACAGCATCCCCGGTAAATATTGTGACGCGGCTTTACTCCAAAATCTAACTAACTTTCTTGAACGTGACATGACAATGAAGGGGTGAGAACTTTAACGACCTTAGACCATTAAACCACTGGACTAAGTACGCGCCTAATTTTACTCAGTGCAAAGTCTATCACTTTTTGAGGGGGACGAGGTAAACCACTACATTGAAATAAACTCACAACAGCCTTAGTTATTTATATTGTTACAATCGCCTACAAATATATTTTTTCACCTACGCACACTAATGACAATCACAAGTAATCGTAACTAGGGAAAGTTCGGTATCGATATTTTATTTTTCTTTAAATAACAATATTGATAGTTTTACTTGTTCTCAAAGATTATTTTATAACTTAAAAATATGACAACGGAAAAAATAATTCGGAATCTTTTAATACTCTCACTGGCACAATTACCCAATCACTTATAATTATTGCTTAACTTAAAAAATCGTTTCGTGGGAGAAAATCGTAAATGTCATTTGTTTTATGTGTATATGTTCATTTCTTTTTATCTGTCATACAGTCGTTTCAACATAGGTACAGTCTTGTCCATAAAATGTGTGTTAAATTTAACGATTTCGACAATAAAAAAATATTGCTACTGTAAGTGTAGATGGCCAGAGGTAAATTAAAATGAAATAAAAATACTTTAAGACATTAGATTAAAACTTTTATTGAAAAAACTACAACATGCACTCAAATAATCTTCTACACTCACTTTTATTTAACATAATTATGATTATTACAATTATTCTCAGTGGTACAAGATCTGTTGATGATTTCATATCTTTTAGGAGCTTATGTCAAACAAGTCAAAACTTATCATATTTTAACACGCTTATATTAGCCTCACTTGTAATTAACTAGGTAAACAAATCTGGAAAGTCGAATTCAATCTACTTCTTATTCTCATATTGATTCAAAACTTGGTAAGTGTATGTAAATTGGATGACAATACGATAATTTGATATCATTGAGCCAGTCTGATAATGAAGCCAGGAGGTGAATAGTGAATTCTTCAATGTTAACAAAAAGAACACTCATTCCACCATTACAATGTTAAAGTATATAAACTCATTTTTACTAAACCGTCATGAAACCACCAGCTGTCTCATCGTATTTTTCTCTACTCTGGCTTGTACGTTACGTTCATATTACAAACGCAAGCACGCACAAGCATGTTTTATTATTTTTTCTAGTTATATTTTCTTTAGATTTAAACATCAAGCAGTTAAATGCTTAAAAAAAAATAATTATAACTATAATTGCAATTTCTTCTTTCAAATGTTTAATACTTGTAAAAGTTTTCATTTGACATTGTGGGTTAGAGATAAACTACGATAACATGGCGCGCCCCTCCAAAATTCAAAACGTTTGAAAGTATTTGTGAAAGTACTTACAATGCACCACCAAGATTCATAGCGCATGTGTGCGTAATGACACAGACGTCAAAGAAAAACAAATCCACGGATTCAATCCCTCTAAAACACAGGCCTGTCTCTTCTCGACGAAACGGAGTCCATTCCATCTGACTCCGACTTTCCGAAATGTCTCCGTGCCGGTTAAAGACCATCTCGAGCTCTTGGGTATGGACATCTCATCCAGCCTCAATTTCGGTCGCTACATCGAGTCCATTGCTAAAACCGCTGCCAGAAAACTTGGAATACTTTCTAAGGTCAGGCGATATTTTACATTTGAGCAGCTCCTTAACCTGCTCCTGCTTGGAGTACTGTTGTCACCTTTGGGACGGATCTACTCGGTATCAGCTGGATGCACTGGACTCGGTGGAACACCGTGCGAAGAGACTCATAGGCAACGACGCTCTCGTTGAGGCTAATCTCCAGAGCCTTGACCACCGAAGACGTGTAGCTTGCCTCTCGGTGTTTTATCGGTTACATTTCGGAGAGTGTGCGGAGGTATTACATAATTTGATCCCCCCTTCCCCTTTCCACCACCGGACGACCAGGCACGGCGAGGGCTTCCACCCTTATGTTGTCGAAGTTCCTCCCATTCGCACGAAGCGATTTGCTTCGGCCTTCATTATACGAACGGCTAGGGAGTGGATCTCCTTGCCGAGGTCTGTTTTCCCGGACCAATATAATCTGGACATCTTCAAGGCCAGAGTGAACAGGCATCTTCTAGGCAGGCGTGTACCATCCTAGGCCTCATCATCGCTTTCCATCAGGTGAGATTGTGGTCAAAGACATTGCCTATTTTGCATAAAAAAAAAATCTTAATGATCTCTATTGGCACTGGAACTAAAATTTTCTTCATTGCTGTCATAGAAGCTTGATGAATCATTTTCAGAATCGGATTCTCCTACGTGAATAATAAATTCTTGCTCGTCGTCGTAGTTTTTCCAGTATTTGGATTCAGTCTCCTCCACATGTCTGCAAGTGTTGGTCCACATCGTGCAATCGATCATGTCTAGACGTTCATGAAGTAATTTCATGATAGATGTGTAGTTTTGATCTACATTTTTGTTTGCGATATAGTTTTTTAAGACTCCCAAAATTTTCTCAATCGGGTTTAAGTCGGGATGATATGGAGGAAGTCTTAAAATATCGCAATTATATTTTTTTGCTTCGCCATCAACGGCGTAATTTCTAGAATTTACTTTATTTTTTAGAATGACATCATAGAGTTCGATTTTCTTCATGTCTTCCTCGAAGTCGATGTGTACCATTGTATGACCAGCCAATATTTCATGGCTTCTTTGTTGCTATTGGAGGTGGGAACTTTTTCTGTAAATGTGTTATGGTAGGAGGCGTTATCCATAACAATTACAGACTTTTCTGGTATATTAGGCAGTAGTTGTGTTAAGAACCACTTCTTGTAATTGTCATGGTTCATGTTGTCGTGGTAGTCGCCTGTCTTCGAACTGGCCTTGTAAATTAAACAAGCATTGGGGACAAAACCATTTCTTCCACCAGCGTGGACTATTATGACGCGTAACCCTTTAGAATTTTTTTTCTTTGCTACAGTTCCTTGTTGAGTTCCCCATGATTTATTTTGTACATGTGTGGTATGAATGTAGCTTTCGTCAGTATATACAGTATTCCTCCCTTCTTCTCTATATTTCTTCAATTGTTTTAAATATTTATAGCGAAGGAACTGCACATCATGTTTTTCAACAAGTACTTGACGATTGTCTTCAGTAGTTTTCCA